AAAAACCCATGAATTGATTTAAAATTTTACAGATAGCTTTTTAATAGTAATAGGAATGTATAATAACAAATTCAAGATGCTAGCCTCGTTTAAGTATATAGCCTATGAATACTTAAGATTGCACATAAGAACTAAGAGACTGTGAACAGAAATTGAGACATTTACTATAAATGTATTTAGAAATTGGAATTGGCGACACTAACTTCGGCAGCAGCTTCGTCTTGTTTCACGACTTTCTCAAACTCAGCGACTTCTTCTCTCTCTTTGTCGACCTCCAACAACATTTTCTCTACGTCTTGAGTGGCGCTTATCAATGCCGGCTGCAGCGATTTCAGAGTCTCCTGCATCACCACTACTTGCTTCTGAGTCTCGTCCAGCTGACCCAAACCGCGCTCGTATCGAGTCTTAGCGTTAAGTATTTCTCTGTTTTACATCAAACTTTTCGTTCAATTCTGCACATGGTAATTTACGTCTACTATGCACGTCACTCACTCTCGTTTCTTCGCCAGTAGATCCTTGAAAGTGTTTATCATTTCCAGATATGAGGTCGGTGTCACGTATACTTGCCTGTCCAAACGAATCAGGAACTCCTTACTTAACTTCTCTGTGGATACGTGAAAGAATTGACACATGTTGATACCGGCAACTGTTTCATTTTCAGTGAGCTCGATTTGACCCAGGAATCTAGTCGCCACTGCTAATAAAGCATCCTCTGGCCATGGCTTGAAAAATAATTCGAGTAATCTGTACTTCTGCTCTTAAGTTCTAATTCTTATTGTCCATTAAAAAGTCTGACAAGTATTCGTGCAGAGTTTATATTAAGAGTGTCTCAAAACTAGTGTGAGATATTGAAATGGGAGGTTCCTGACAATTTTAAACAATATTTTCCTTAGTGAAAAAGTTCTCCGAGGCGTGGTTGAGGAGTTATTAACAAGAAACCCCGACCAATCAGAGCGCTCGGTTGGCGCGAGCTTCGAATCGGGAGCGTTGGCTCGGATCCGGACGCCTGGCCTATCAAAAATTTATTATTTCCCCATCCATTTCATTTGAATAACGATTAAATCTATTAATTGTTCTTAATTTCCTTGCATTGTTATTCATGTAGTTTATTATTCGTCATTTTCTTAAAACGCTTCGTATTGAGCGGAGCGCTTGTTCACACGTCAAAAATCGCGTGTCCGGATTCGAGCCAACGCTCCCGATTGGAAGCTCGCACCAAC